TGTAATTACCGTTAATCCGTTCCGGCGTCCACGGACCACGCATCAGGGGCGGAAAAATGGCTGCTGACCATGCGGCAGGGCGGAAAAATGGCCGCGGACCACATATCAGGGGCAGAAAAGCAGCCGCTGACCACGTGGAACGGGCGGAAAAATGGCCGCGGACCACATATCAGGGGCAGAAAAGCAGCCGCTGACCACGTGGAACGGGCGGAAAAATGGCCGCGGACCACGTGGCACGGGCAGAAAAATGGCCGCAGACCATGTGGAACGGGCGGAAAATGGCCGTGGATCCGGTTCGTAAGTTGAGGTGAGTTCGTAAGTAGAGGTAAATTTTTGGGGCCAGAGCTAATTGTATCTCGAAAAATTCGTAAGTAGGGGCGTTCGTAAGTAAAGGTACCACTGTATATATATATATATTCTGATATATATATCAGAAAAGCAGAGGAAGCACCGGATGCGGTTCTGCTAAATGGGTTTCCAAAAGTGCACCCTCTGCACCTACATTCCTGGGGCAGGGTGGCAGATCCCCTGAAAAGGAAGGGCAGGACCCAGAGAAGTTGCGTGACGCAGCTTTCACACAGCCCAGAGCTCCTGAGGTCCCCTTTGTGCTGGAAGCTCCCCTTCCCAGTTCCCCTAAAGTTAAGTCCTGGGAGAGGGCGGTTTTGAAACGTGGTCCCCGTGCGTTGCAAGGAGGCCAGGTCCTGCCTCCCCCCGGGCCTTCCTTGTCTGAGTAGCGCTATGTGCCAGGCTGCGAGTGGTGCCGGAAGAAAACAACTTGGACTCTGATTTTGTACTCTGCACAGATTACACTATGTACAATTATATGCGCGAGCTAATTCTTACAGGTGAATACAGTAATTCCTATATATACAGCAGCACACCTAACTTACCTACTAACCAACAATACTGCACAACGCTCAGAAACACTCAGCAGGCTTATGTTCCATCCATGCTGCTTCTGTTCCTTACACTGCGCTGATTCATTCCTAGTCAGTTGCTGGCAATTAGCTCATTAGCCACGAGCTCTGCGACGTGGTTTGTTCTGTCATTCCCTGTGTTACTCACACAGTAAAATTCCTTTACTTATGAGTATACCCTTGGCTCCGTGGTGGCTTAGCTCATCCAAGAAGCTAATCACCATCTTTTCTTCTTTTCTCCGCAGCAACCCGTCACCTCCTGGCACCTCCAGCGCCCGGGGTCTGCAGCCCCCGAATGTCCCACCTGGCAGGCCCCTTAACAGACCAGCCTTTGCAGAAGCTCCAAGAGGGACAGAAACGCCCCCTCCGGTTGCGAATCTCCCCAAGGATCCACGCCACAAAGTGGGAGTCGGGGCCGAGCCCCCGAACAAAGCCAAGGGATGGTCCGTCAGCACATCTGCCAACTCTGGACGTAAACTGGACACAAACGTTGCTAAAGGTAGGAAGGAGCCATCCATGTGTCCAGGGTGGATTGGGCTCAAATCACGATTTAAATCTCTGGTCAAGGGGACTCAGTGGGGTGATTTAAACCCTAGTTAGTCTTTAAACCCTGGTTAGAAAAATCCCACAAGCATACTTTCTCATAAAGGTGCCTTCCGGTTGCTTGATATAAGCTGACACTTTTCTTGCGTATTTAGTGAGCGACGGGGATTTCATTTCTAGAAGGGGCGTTGTATATAAAGCAAGTGTTCCATCTTTTTTTATTCAGATAAATCTCTGTCCCCCCCCCATGGAACAATGGTCCCCAAAGTTTTTTAACTTAAAAAAAAAACTTTATTTTTATCTGTCCTGGGTTCAAACTTCTAGTAGAGTGGGTCGTCTGCTTTGGGGAGTTGGCTTAACCTGTTGAATGGAGGATGCCCCAGCAGCCTGCTTCACAATCCTTTCAGTGCATCAGCTTTGGAGGTGGAACGACGCCCCTTCTTTCCACTTTTCTGTAGTTCATTTCTCAGGGCCGCATCATTGCAGTCCTTCCAACACCTGTCTTTATTGCACAGGACTGAAAATGAGTTCAATAAAGCTCTTTAAAGCTTTTCTTTTAAAGAAAAACTTTGCCCAAATCCCTCCCCTCCCCCCCCAGAATTGCATTCTGAAACATCTGGATGGGATTGATAGAAGCAGCGAATGAACACAATTCGACCTTTTTTTTTTTTTTAAACAAGAAAGCCCAAAGACCTTGGTTCTGGAAGCTGCGTACCTTTTGCACAACAGGCTTGTTTGCACACCCGCCCCGTAATTCGCTCACTCCACGCTGTGGATGGGGCTCGGGAGGAGCCAACGCGGTGCAGAACCTTGACAGCTGCTTTATGCTTTACCCTCCTTTGCCTGTTTCTCGTTCAGCAAAAAATTTCAACGTGGCAGAAGAGAAATCGGAGGGCCCCGAGGACTGGAGATCGAGGCTGAAGCCGGTCAAGTGAGTATTAAGCGAGAGAGGTCCTTCTCGGGAAAGCAAAATGCTTCGTGGCGGTCACGGATTGCACGGGCTGTGCATTTCGAAATCAAGTCCGGTATCTTGATGGAGGACAGATGGGTGTCCACGGGACACGTGCGTGCGTGCACATGTCCATGAACATCTGCAAGATGGTGGGTGCGGTGTTGTGACTGAAGCAACGTCAACGCACACCCAGAAGGAACAAGGTTTCAGCGGTGATGCTGCAGCCACCATGTTGCAGATTTCGGTCCCACCACCACGGACGCCGCTAGGTAGAGCTGATGTTCCACCTGCGTTGGACTATACCTCCCATAGTTCTTTGGGGTTGCCGGCTGAGGCAGATGGGCGTTGGAATCCAGACTTCTGAAGGGAACTGGGCTGCCTCCCTGTTTTCGTCTTTGCGCATGCTGGATATGGCACCCGTGGGGTGTGTGACGATTCATTCCGTGATGCTCGGGGAATGCTTTCCACGTGTCTTCGCCTTGTCTGTATTTCAGTAGTCTGCTGAGCGGGTGGCTGCATAAATCAACTAAATAAAGCATTAAAGGTTGCCCCCAGCTCCCATCCTGGATTTCCTCTCTGCCTGGCAAATGAAAGGTGTCCTAGTTACTCCTCCAGCCTGGGATCGGAATAAGTGGGGGGTCCGAATGCGTTATATTTCAGCCCCTTCCGATCTCATTTCGGTCCCAGTGGCCTTTCTTCCGCCACAGCCACCCGGGTCAGGAGCCAAACCGCGAGGGTCCATCTCCTCCTCCTGTGAAAATGTGGCTTTCCTTCTTTTGTGAAAGGGAAACGATGCTCTTGCCTTTTAAGACTCCAGGACGCGTGCCCGGGGAGCGAAGGGGTAGATTTCATCAGGTGGGGCTGGGGGGCGTGGGGAGAAGAGCCTTCGCTTTGTAGACTACAACAGGCAAATCGAGCAAATCTATGCGTGGGGTTTGATTTGCACACTCCAGTCCGGGCTGCAAAATCCTGCCTTCCTTGGCACAGAAGGTGGGTCGGTGCCCACCCCGCCTTCAGCTTCTCTCCTTTCCTGCAGAATCCCCCACCAGGGTGAAGCCAAGACTTCTCAGAAACCTGCGGATGTTCACAAGGTGGTGATCAACGTAGAGGTGAAGCCGGAGCAGAAGGACAAAAAGCCGTCTCTTTTGGTCATCACCCCTGCCGCTCCCAATCCTGGTAAGAATAGCCCTGCTTTGGCAAGATCTGGGCAACCACTGCGGGCTTCCCCCTCTGGGCTTCCCAAACCCTGCCGCCACGTCACCAGAGACCCGCTTCGACGGCTCCGTTGCTGAGTTAGCGATCCTTATTCCCTCTCGCCTAGGGTCTGTAGATATATGTTTTAATCATATTGATCTTTTAAGATTGATTTCTTTATAGTTTTCTGTTGATTGTGTACGTACGCGTTGCTTTTATTGGACTGTGGTAAGCTGCCCAGAGTCGTTTCTCTGTGAGATGGGCGGCTAGGTGAATTTGATGAATGCGTAAATAAATAAGAATCTAGTCCTCATGAAGGGGAGAAAACTCCCGGTAGCTCAGATTACAGCGCGGGAGTCTTTCCTCGGTCTTTGCCTACCTGATGGGGCCTGATCCGTTGCCCCCTTGTCCTACCCAGCCACGTCCTTCTCGAGAAGGATCTGGCCCACGAATCCGAACTCAAGGTCCATGCTCAGAAGTTGTGTTTTCTCTGTTCTGCCCTGAGTGCTTTCCCCCCTCTTTCCGTGGTAGCGCCGCTGGCTGTTCAACCTCAGAAGAAGAAGCTCCTGGTGCCTCAGCTTGATGTCTCCAGCAGCTGGCAGCAAGCGAAGCAGCTGTGGGAATCGCAGCCAGCAACCGCCAAGCCGGAGAGTTGGGGACCCTCGAAAAAAGTGGTTGCCGCCGGTCGGTCTCTCTTATAATTTCCATTAGACTCGGGGCCAGGCAGCTAGGGCACGCCGGACATTGCCGAACTACAGTTCCCATCAGCCCCAGCCAGCATGGCCGTGGCTGAGGAATGCTGGGCATTGTAGTTCCGCAACATCTGGAAGGCCCACGAGAACAGGCGCGGACGCTCGTCCCCCAAGATTCGACAGTGGAAAAGAAAAACGTTAGAAAAAAGCAGCCTGCGACTTTTTGCCCGGGCTCAACGTTTTTGGAGAAAGATCTGTTTTCACCCGCTAAGGCGGCTGCATGTCGCTGCCTGGGTTGACGCAGCAGAGTAAACCGTGGTTTGTACAATAAACCAGGGCTGCTGTGATTGGTGAGGCATCTGCTACCAGCCTTTTTTTTTTTTTTTAATTATACTTATTGAGAGTTTTCATATAATAAAAAACAAACCAAAAGGGGAAAAAAAGAAAAGAAAGAAAAAGGAAACTAAACTTAAAAAACGTGTAAATGGTTTCCGATCTTTCTCCCTCCTCCCTTCGTCCCCTCCGCATCTTTCTTAATCTTCAAATCCAGAAACCGTCAGTTCAGTTTTTCCTTCCTCCGGCAAACAGTCCACAAGGGGTTTCCAGTCTTTCCAAAAAAAAGGTCTTTTCCTCTGACCAAACAGTCAGTTTCGCCAGGTCTGCAAATTCTGACATTTCCTCCACTGTGGGAATCCCAGGCGTCTGCTCCAAGCCTCGAGGATGTCACGGGCCTCATGGCGTCACCCTGCCCGGGGTGTTATTTGCCCCTGCGGGCACCCACAAAGCCGTGGTTTATAGTCGCGCGAAGCCAAAACCAGACAAACCTTAAGAAACCTAGCCACAACTTCCCGTTCTTGAACTGGGGTCAAAGGCATGATTTCGACTCTGCAGGAACGTGCCTTCCTGCCCGTGCCTTCCTCTTCGGCCCTTCTGCAACCTGGTGCCCCCGGATGCATTTGGATGCCCACGGCTTGACCTTGGGGGTGGCCCAGGGCCTTTGTGCCCCTCTGCAGCCTCTGCAGGTCAAGAGCAGAGCTGAATTTCACCCCTGGATAAATTGAGAACAAAGACCCCTCGGACCAGCAACTGAACCTTCCCCTTTCTTTTCAGTCCCGCCGTCCGGCCCTGGAGCCTTCTGGAAGCATCCAAGCGATCCAGCGATCTCTCCCACCAAGGTGGGCTATGGACTAAAAGCGAGGCGCCAGCCTATCTTGCAGGGCTGCGGGGAAGGCAAGCTTTTTTATTTTCCGCCGTGAGCCTCAGGGTGGTGAAACGCGCGTCTTTGGCTGTTTCAGCTCCACCCGGATTACGTTCCCGAGGAAGAGATCCAGAAGGAAGTCCGGCAGATTGAGAGAGACCTGGACAAGCTGGAGCAGAAGGGGATCTCCCTGGAGAAACAGCTGCGGGGCTGCGAGGGAGGTGAGGAGGAGGAGGAGGCCCCCGCGGCCTTGCCCGGCGGATGCTTTCTGATCTTCTTTTAAAAAGAGGTTTGAAAAGGCACAAGTTTCCAGCCCTCATGGGGGCCAGGAAGGCGGGAGTACGCAGCTTCCGCCTTTTCTGCCTCTAATAACAAACAGGTTTGGGGGAAGGTTTCCAAATTAGCCAAAAGTTTCTGCCGCAGGGGTGGGGGCTGGGTTTTTTTTTCCCCCCACCTGGCCCACCTTTCAGGGTCCGTCTGAGGTTCTTTGCGATGGGTAATGTTTAGTTTGCTCCCTTCTGAGTTTCTTGGGTCTCGCGCAGATGATTCCGAAGATGCCCTGATGGTGGAGTGGTTCAAACTGATCCACGAGAAGCAACTTTTGCTGAGACGGGAGTCCGAGTTGATGCACAAGTGAGTGGAGCTGGAAGGGGCAAGAAATGTGGCCCGTTCATGGCATCTAGGCGGCCAGCTGCTGACTATAGGATTTGGGCTCCCTTTTTAAACCCACCAGATCATGATTAGGAGTCATTTCTCATTACAGGTAGCCCTCCTTTAGCGGCTGCCTCGTTTAGTGACCGTTTGCAGTTACGACGGTGATGAAAGAGTAACTTTACGATCAGTCCTCGCATTTACGACCTTTGCAGGTCTGTAAAGCAAAGGAAAGCTGAAGGACGATCGGAAGCACCGTCGTGGTTTCACTTGGCAACCGCTTTGCTTAACGACCGAGTCGCTGGTCCCAATTGTGGTCCCTAAACGAGGACGACCTGTATTTCTTTTCCTTCACAGACCCCATTCTTTTATAGGAAGTGTTTGAAACAATAGATTTGGCACTAATTTTAGCCTCGCTTGATGGTATTTGGAACGTACACTGAAATCTTGGTACCCCCCTGCTTTCGGCGTCCTGTTCTCTTTTTGACTGTTGGGGAAGATGGGAATTGTAATCCAACAAACTATAAGGGTGCTGGTTGGTGGAACGCGCTGCTCAGGGCTGTGGGACAGACCCTCAACCTACCCAAATGCTCAGGGCCAGATGAAAACGCAGGATCCCTCGGCCAGGGGAGAAAACGATAAAGACTTTTTTAAAAGGCTGGGAGCCGTATATGGACTTTCTGCTGAAAGAAGAAAAGACCAAACTGATGATTTCTGGATTTGGGGATTCGAAAGGGCTAAAGGTGGAGGGAAAAAGAGTAGGATGGCAATTACTCGGTAGGAAGAAGGGCGGAAGTGAAAATTAAATTCTACGTTTTCTTTCTTTTTTCCACTTCTCTTTTCTTACTTCCTATCTTTTTTCTTTCGCGTATTTTTTTCCTTTTTTAATGCTTTTACTATATTGTAAAATTCTAATGAAAAAATACTTAAAAGGAGAGGAAGATAATGCTGGAGGATCCTTCCAGCAGTCAGTTCAGGAGTGGCCCAAAGCTTTGGACCAGGCCCAGGTGCGAATCAGGGTTCCTTGAAGCACCTTTTCTCTCTTGCAGGATGAACCAGCAAAAACTGGAAGTGAAGCAGTGGGACATTGAGAGCGAACTTCGCAGCCTGATGAGCAAAGCGGGTGGGTCTCCCATCATTTCCCCCCACCCCAATATGCTTTATTGTTTTCGCTGTGGTTGTGGTTCCGGGTATCTCTCCTTCCATTTGCCGCACAGCCAAAGCGTAAGGAAGCTCGGCGGAGGGCCAGACAGAGACCCAGACCCAACGTGCAGGGTCCCAGCCTGCTTCTCAGCCCATTACCTGGAAGGAAAAACAGGCCCCCTGCAGAAAGCAGGCTTGCCTTCCACCAGCAATGATGCCAACTCCCTTTCGTGGTTTCTTCCCTCGTGGCAGCGAAGGGACTTGCGCATCCCGGCGACAGGATGCTTACAAAAACTCAAAAAAAAAAAAATTAAAGCAATTATCAGCAGAGGATCTTAGCCAGAAATTGAACTTGGTTGGATAAATAAATAAATAAATAAATATGCCCTCCCTAGTTCTTATGAAGTTAAAGGGAGGGAGGGGGAAGCGCAAGATTCGGTTACTGTCAGCTTAGAATAAAAGCAGTATTAGCCCGCCTGACTTTGGCTTCCTAGCCTGGTCTACCTCGCAGGGCTGACGGGATCTTGCAAGCCTGCGTCCCTCCCTCTGGGGCCTCTCCTTGCTTCGCTTTGTGATATATTTTTAAAACAAAATTAACTCCGGTTCCTCCCCCGCCTTCCAGATTACTTGAAGACCCCGAACGAGAAGGCTCGAGAGAAGGAACTCCTGGACTTGTACTTGGACACGGTCAACCATCGGAATAAAATTGTGGAAGACTTGGATGAGGACAGACTCAGGTACCGAGGGGTCGGAAGGCGCGATCTACGTTTATCGGGGGCCGGAAAGCTCTTGCGGGCTTTTGGCGTAAAAATGAAAAAAAAAATGAACTCGTGGTTTAGGGTTTGGAGGATTAGAGAGCACAGATTGTAGAAAGAAGAGTAATCTGATGTAACTTTAAAGAGAGAGGTGAAAATTTATTTTATTTTATTTTATGTCATGTCATGTCATGTCATGTCATGTCATTTCATTTTATGTCATTTTTTTTATTTTAATTTTTTTATTTTTTTATTTTATTTAGTTTATTTTATTCATTTCATTTCATTTCATTTCATTTCATTTCATTTCATATTTTATTTTATTTTATTTTATTTTATTATTTATATATCAAATTTGCCACTGCCCATCTTGTTAAAAAACAACTCTGGGCGGTTTATAGATTGACGGTTTTACATTTACATTTGTACTTATAACCACTGTGAAGATCGGTAAGCCATTTCTTTCTATCTTTTCTCCTCCTTTTCTGTTGTTCTTCCACTTTTTTCCCCTTTTCTTGCGCTTTTTGCTTTTTCCTTGACTTCTTTCTTTTTCTTTCTCCTCCCTACTTTATATTAGTTCGTGTTTGTTTTTATCCTCTTGTTTAAAAAGCTTCAGTGAAAAAATTGTAGGTAAGGTACAAAGGGGTGGAGGAAGGCAGGAGGACTGGGGGACAGGTTCAGGCATCAGGCTAGAAACCGGGGAACCCCGAGTTCTAGTCCTGCCTAGGCACAAAACCAGCTGGGGGACCTTGGGCCGGTCACTCTCTCTCAGCCCTAGGAAGGAGGCAATGGCCAGCCACTTCTGAAAAATCTTGCCAAGAAAACTGCAGGGGCTGGCCCAGGCAGTCTCCGAGAATCAGACACGATGGAATGGATTAAAAAAAGGGATTGAGGAAGGCAGGAGGACTGGGGGACCCCCTTGTCCAGTACTGGTTTCCCAGCATGATTGTTGTGTGATCCCAAGTCCAGAGTCCCTTCAGTGGTACAGTCCCTTCTTTCTCCCCATGACCCATCTTCTTTCTGGTCAGCCCTTCAAGGTAGGCTAGATCAGGAAACCGACTCCACAGGAAGACCGGAACTCCACTTTATGGAGATAGGGGATAGTGAAAAGATCCTTGCAAGTCTGCTTGTGTTCCTCTCCCTCTTATACCCCAGAGCAGTGTTTCTCAACCTTGACCACTTTAAGATGGGTGGACTTCAACTCCCAGAATTCCCCAGCACTGGGGAATT